CCTGTTCTTGACAAAAATATTTTAACATACCTCTTGATCTTTGGCGAGTTTTCTTTCTATTGAAACCACAAGAAGGGACAAGATAAATATCCCTTGAGGGAAAACGCTTGATTCGAAACTATATAAGAGTTAAAAACTGCTTCTCTCAATGGAGATTGGATTGCTGATTGGATATTATACTTAGTTTATAATCTATATACGTATATTATTTATAATCTATATACATATATTTCCTTATTTTTTTAAATTGTATAATAATAATGTGCGTAGACCCTGAATGTGCGAAAACATAATTTAAATAATAATAATAATAATAATAAAACTCTTTATTGCACACACAACATAGGAAGAAATATAAAAAAAAAAAAAGAAGAATACAGTAGTAGCAAAATGCACAAGAGGCGGCCTTATCGCTAAAACAGCGATTTCTTCCAGGCAACCTTTAGGTGTAGGATATAGCAAAGTGTGAAGTGGAAGGGTGTGAACAAATAACAGAGATAAGTAAAATAAAAATGATAAATACATATATACATACATATGATATTTTATATACGTATATAAAATATATAAATTAGGTATACGTAACTAATATAAATAATATGATAATAAGTAATAAATAAATACAATAAAATAATAATATCAGTTTAACCAAATAAATAAAATGACTATATTATATATATAAATATATATATATATATATATTCACATGAAAGGCAAGAAATATTTTAATACAAATAAGGATAATAGCTATACATATATCAGTACATATAATTTAAGAGTAAATATCAGAATAAATAATAATGCAGCAATCCGAAGGAATTAAAACGTATAAAAGTGTTCTTTTAGACGTTTTTTAAAAATCATTAGAGATTTCGCATCCCTAACGTTAATTTAAAATGTGAAATAATAGTGTAAATCTTAGAAAGTATTAAATCTACACTTGTACATATAATAAATGGAAGATATTCGTTGTTGCTCTGTTTGTTTGATCATGCTGAAAATAATTCAGTATGTTATAATAAGTAAACTAGATTTTACATAGAGAGACAAACACGTATGTAAGTCTCCGACTGCATAACACTATATTCCATCATGAACTTCTTTTCATCTTTTTAGTAAGCTTTTACGCAGTCGGGTTTTTTATTTTTACAATATATTTATTTATTTACAGCTTTTTAAGTATTTTTAAGTAGGAAAATTAGCGAGAATGGTTGTTAACCAACTTTAAATCATGATATATCCTGAATCAAATATTTTCGAAGTCGGTGTGCTTTGGCTAAGTAATTAAAGCCTACCTATTAAATACATACCTAATCAAATATTTTCGAAATCGGTGCCAGCCCATAAAAAGCATAGCACAGCAACTTCGAAAATATTTGATTAGGTATGTATAGTAAATGAAAACTACCAATCAGTTATTTTTTACTTTTTAGTGCTTTTGTTTGAAGTCGGTTTTTATTTTTTTGTTAATTAAATACTTATTCAACGATACCTCACTTGACATAGTTCGTCGAATTTCATTTTTTTCTTTTTCACATTATGGGATCTAACAGCCCCCATATTTATTTATTATGCCATCTAAGAACACTTGAACTAATGAGACGATTCTAACGATACCCTAATTAAAGAAATCCATCAAGTGGTTTGGAAGATATGAGGGAATAAGGAATATTACAAATAAACATACAAAGATAGGCGCGAAAAACATAACCCTTTCTTTGCAGTCGGGTAAAAAGTACATGTACGATGGCACTAAACCGATTTTATAATAATTCAGTGACAGATAAATACCAAGCCGAATAATCGAAGTTCCGTTTTACGAGTACCTACATTTAACTTAATTTAATTTTCAGCGAGGTCTGTCGTATCACGTATCCCATGACAAATATTTATAATGGGTATTAAATTAGTCAGAATTCTTTAATCTTTACTAGCATTATAAATGCGAAATTGAGTTTGTTGGCTTGCTCTTGAACGTAATAATGAAGCAAAAGATTGAAGTGTTTTGTTTTGCATATTTTTACCCGACTGTGACGAAGGCCAAAGGAGCGTTATGTGTTTAACCTGTATGTATATTCGATACTATGTTCCCTCGTAATTACTAATGGCCAGACCAATTTTGATGATTTATACGTCGTTAGATACGTCATGATGACATATTTCCATATAGCGGTTACATGGATTTGATTAGCTTAATGCTCGAGTCGGATATCAAAATTAAGGTTTTGAAGAGGTGATTATAAGAATATTTACAACTCATATGTTTTAAAATAATTTTGGTTAACAAATTATTAAATAAAACTACAAATGTCTAATTATGTTTTAATTTGACCAAAACTAAAAATTATAGGTATTATAAAAATAAAAGAACACGTGTTTCATCCTTGTGTGCGACTGCATAATACTTTTCCTTCGTCAACATGTTTTTATCTTTTTTGTTCGTTTTTTTACGCAGTTGGGTTTTGTATTTTATGATTAGTATTAAAGCTACGGACCCTATAAAACCTATTTTTAAATAAAAATATCTTTTCGGATTATTTTATTTCGGGAGAGACGGAAGATTGTCTCTCCCGTGACCACGATTGCTGTAAAACATTCGAAACGTCGGGAACTAAAAATCCAAATAAATCCGCGAAATAACCGAAAAGATAGTTTTATTTAAAATGTCAAATACTCGCATAAATTTACGTAAGAACTATTTAAAATTTTATATTTTCAGTTGCTTTTGTAAGATTATAATATATTGTAATATTTTGTCTGAGATACAAAACATTCATTATTATTTTATATAATACTTGTTACTTAAAACCAGCGATAGATACGTACCAAAAAAAAATCTAGAAATAGGGATAAAACTGATAACGCCAAGCTTTAGCTTTCAAAAGGTGAATAGGTCGTTTATGAAGCTAAGTGAGTTTGAGTCAAAATTCAATATTAAGCTTGCCATTTGAATAATTTAAGTCTAAAATTAAAAATACAGATTATACAAAGCATCTTATTCCTAATAAAATAATATATAAAAATGGGTGTTATTCTATTTGGAGGTCGTGAGATAAGTACAGTAAGTATTCCGATAAGTAAATAAATATTACTTTTAAAAGAGCAATTGTTGAATTTCTCGCCGGCTCTTTCGAGCAGAACTGTCTTACCAGATATTGGTAGCTGCTTCACGGACTTGTAATACTGACATCTATACATATAATAAAATTCAGAGTCGAATCTGTTCATTAAATATTTTATTGAAATAGTCATTATTATCGATAGACGCCAAATCCATAGTTTTTAGAAATTTCGCATCACGGAAAACTACCGAAGAGATTTTGTTAAAATTTGATATGATGATAGCTGGTTATCCGGGTCAACATATAGGATACTTTTTACCGCGGAAAAATATTTTATCTCTGAGAAATCTTTAGGTACTAAACGTTAAAACGTAACTAGGGTTAAACCCGAGCGGAGCAAGGGTAAATCGCTAGTTTAATATAAATTTCAAAATTTCTCATTGAAAGGTACTTGTAAAAGCATATTTCAATAAAAATTGATATCATAAATTTTTATCCTGGATAGTAACATTTCCTTTCAATTTTATTACATTGCATTCAATTATTGGAGAACGTGTGGAGCACGAGAGGTTTAGTAGAATTAGTGGGTGGGTTGCCTCCCATCCACTAATCCAACATAGGCATGTTTCTAATAATAATGAATTATTTTTGATTAATTGAAAGCGACCCAATTGAGTAATATTATTACAATTCTGTGACTTCGTAATACGTGAAATACGCAATATGAAATTGTCTGTGTAACCTTCGGTGTATTAGGCTGTGTAGTGACACAAGATGGTACGTTAACGGTCTCCAAATAAAAGTGTTTATCAAAGAATTGCAATTTTATTTAAACATAAAAATTGTTATCTATTTTTAATATTAATACATAAAAGTTTAAGTGATTTTTTTATAATCATACGATACCATACAATTTTTATGCATATATATATAATCATATAATATGTAAATAAGGCATTTTATGTGAACATAATAATATACGTATCTATTAAGCCCTTTTTAACGTCCCTCTTAACGTCTATGTAATTTTACATGTCTTTGGAAAACTTGGTAGGTTCTCTCAGATATCAGGTTTCCTCACGATGTTTTCCTTCACCGTACGACAAGTGCCGTAGATAGTATAGACCCGGGATTGAACTAGCTTCACTCGGTTGCCCAAGCGAGCGTGTTGCCACTAGGTACATAACGAATATGACATATAGGTATGTTAAATATATATCGTTCTTTTTTTTACTAACGGCACCGTCAGGCGACGGCAAATTGTAAAATATTGGGTTGTAAAATACAACACTGTGGATTGTTAGAGTAGTAGACACATTGCTTAGTAATGCCTGGATAGTTTAGTGGCTAGTCTGTACGGCTGCACGAAGGTCCTGGGTTCGAGTTCCGGGTTGGACCAAGTTTAATCATTAAATCTTTCTTTCTAATTACAGCTCAGAGTTGTGAAGGTGACGGTGTTTCACCCCCATGCCTCGAAGAGCACGTGAAGCTGTTGGTCCTGCACCTGATCAACTGTACCGTCTACCGGAATGTCAAAGTAAAAGGAATAGACTTGTGTTTGTGCGTACACTTGTGCTCTAAAATATTTTTACACAGTTGGTAAAGTGATGTCAATGACAGAAATCGGTCACAGGGATATCATTATCATCATGACACGTTTCGCATCGTTTCCTTAGCCTTTTTACCTACTTTATCTTTTGTAAAGTTTAATTAAGTTATAAATTTATCTAGCTAGTATAATAAACTGCCGTTTTGACAAAAGCTATTCAGCACTAATGTACCTACTGTTTCAAAATTGACGGGATGCCGAAAACAATTCCTGATATCTATATATAATTCGTGCAAACTCTACCTGAGTACCCACGACAGATTCATCTTAACTGCAATGGGATCATTTAATTAAAATAAAAACAAATCTACTAAAGGCAATTCGAATACCTGTTTTGTAGGGTTAACGACAAACGCACGTAGATAGGAGCCTATGTAAGCAGGCGTAGCGAGGGCAGCCGCCAGTACCCATATCCCGATGGCAGTAGCCACTGTCAACCGGGTAGCCCGTTTACTTCCTCCTGCAAACAAGAAAAAAAATATATAATATTTTCCCTAAATTGTATCATTTATTCTAGTATTCGCTCAGTGGCCGAAATTCGACCATAAATCATTATTGAAAATTTATTAAAACGATGAAGTTATTTGTTTTACTTATCTGTTTAAAAAAACCTAAATATTTTTATTGATAATAATAACAATGTTCGTCAATAGGAATTTGTCTTTTCCTATTTACATATAGATGAATGATGCGACCCGCTTAAATTTTATTTCTTTTTACTCTCGAGTTGGTATGGATATTAGACTTGTGATGGATGAGAAGAGATGAAACGTATGTGACGAGAAGTGTGATGAAAATGAATGTAGATGTATGCAGGGAAGAAGAAGACCCATAAAGACGGATAGATTGTGTGAGACAGGACATGGAAGAGAAAAGAAAGTGAAAGTGAAGAGTGGTGGAAGACGAGCTGCGCTGACTTCAATTAATTTGGAAAATGGACAGAAAGATGATAATGCTCTATGATTTGTATGATCCATTAATTAACGATGGAAATTATTTGGTTAATTCTGATTGAGAGAAATAAGTTGTGCCTTAGCTAAATAATAGCCATCTACCGTACTCTTTACATAGATATATGACACTAAGTCTTCGATCAACAATACTACTGTTGATCGAAGCATTAAGTAGTATCTTGCTATCTTGTTCTTTCATTACAAGTCCAAAGAAAACATTTGTATAGTAAATGAGCACATCTATAATTTTACATTTATATGTATACATACATAAATAATCTTTCTTGTTAATAGGTCAATGAAATCCGTAATAGGTCACCAAGTATTACTTAGCGCTAGAGAGTAAATAAATATATACAGTATTAATTCAATTTTATATTCAAATATATTTAGATGTTCTCTTATTGGCGAATGTTATAAATAATTTCTTAAATACCAATTACTGTTTTCACAAGATATATATATATATATATGTATATATATATATATATATATATATATATATATATATATATATATATATATATATATATGTATATATATATATATATACATATGAAAATTAGGTTTACAGTATGTATTTTTTAATGCTGAATCATAAAAAAATTTAAATAAATATTTTTGTCCAAAAACTAAAAAATTTTTTTTGAGGTGGATCACCCTTATCACTTAGGGGTATAAAAAATAGTTTACGTCCTTTTCTCAGGGCTACTGAATATGCACACAAAATTTCATAAGAACCAGTCAAGCCGTTTCAGAGGAGTTTTGTTACAAACACTGTCATGAAAGTTTTATATATTAGATGTTCGTGCGAAAATGATACAAGTATGTATAACTTTTACTTATTTTATTTTAGAATTTCGTCAAATATTTCAGCTTCAAATATTCTAACAATATTTATTATTATGTACAAAGATACAAAAGGTGAAATTAATTTACATCAGGTTTTAGCTACGACTTCGCAGAAATCTCTATTATGATTTCATATTGAATTTGAAATTGCTTCGACTGTTGTCCTGTTTAAGTAAGAAGTATTATAATTAATAATCAAAAATATTTCAAATAAATATTTATAATTCGTTTAAATCTTAAATAATAACTTTAGAATTCATTGCACGATTGTTGGTACTTGCTAGAATTTAAATATTGTTTTGGCGTATTTCTTTATCTTTTTCGACGTGATTTTTGTTTAGTAAAGATAAACCGGAGGTAGGCTTGCTTTTTCTGATATATCAAGAAATTAATTGCGTATAGGTAACTAGCATAGTTATCTATACTTAGTATACATAATATGTATATGTATGTATTATATATACATATAAATTGTTAAACTATATATAAAAAACAAACTAAAAGCACACACTAAAAGCTACTCGCTGAAATAGACGTTTCATGATAACTCAACAGCGGTCTGATCACCTAATTTTTTTCTTTCGTAATTTGATTCGGGCCGAGTAATACTTGCTTTCACAAATAAAGATTTTCAGTTTTTTTCACTTATTTGTATTTATCTGTGCGTAACAAGTCTAAGGTTGGTGTTGAACGCCCACGGCATAAAGATATAGAAAAACTATCTAAAGTCTATACAAATATTTATCCACGAATCGAACGGTGGATACAAAAAAAAGTAAATTACAATTTCCACTTTAATCCCTCCACGACCGCGCACACGCCGGCGTTACAGTTAACAGTAGATTTCGTAGAAATTTAATTGATTTCTTAGAAATTTACCTGGAGGTGTTATGTCAAACATTTCTCTCTTTACAAACATCGTTTTCAAAACACTATATATTAATTAATGATAATATTTAATAATACCTAGTTAATTAATCCTTACACGTGTATGTATTTATATAGTGAAAGGTCTAAAATTCACCTCAGAACGTTATTGGTGAGTTATGTTAGTTATAAATTCATTAGCTATTATGTAGAGTAGGTATATTTTTGTAACCTGACTTGTTATTACAAATAAAGATTATTATTATAATATTATTATTAGCTGTAACATTTATATAGAATTTTATATTGTTAAATGTAAAATGCGTACTAATATTAAAATGTGAAAGTTTTTTTTTTCTGTTGGGAAATGCATTTGCGCATACAATCTGTATACATACAAGTGATTATGTAAAACTCACCGGCTAGAAAAACCAGTACTACTCACTAAAACTGACCAGAACTTTCCCCGTCTTAATGGGGCGTCGAAGGATCACTTAGGCACTCGACCACGACGCCCCGACGGCAGGTCTGCCAAAGCAGACCCCAACAGCCATGGGGTTGCTCCAACGGTCCTATATAACTAGATAGTTCTGTAGAAGAGAGGTGTTGGGTAAAACCGCTGGTTCTAAGTAAGGTTAAAATTTAAGTGGACTCTATATAAGAGAGAGAATGACTAAAAATGAATCCGTCTTTTTATAACGGACTGCGGGACGCTCCTGCAATGCATACTGATGCAAAAAGTGACAAATATGCAACTTTTAGAGGGTTTTAGCCTTGAGTTGGGAGGTTACACATGCCTCTGAAAACATATTAAGCTGTCGGTCCTGCGCCTTATCTCTTACTGGTCGTATCGAGTTCTCGTCACATATGATATTTAAAGCAACGCACTGTACTATAATATTTAGTCTCAGTGAGATTTGCCTTAACCGAAATCGATTCGAGGGCATTGTTTAATTATTATGTTAAGATTTGTTTTATTTCCTTTTGCTTTTATAACTTTGTGCTAATTGCAACTTACACAATGATAACTTGTTGAATTTTGTATAAAATATCTTTTTTATTTCTTAATTTAATATGCTTTAGTTTGATGATTACACAATGAACTAACATTAAAAGTATATAACTCATCTTGAAATAATTTTCTGAATAATCATTACCATTAAGTATATTATTTGTATATGTATATAGATTCTCAGCTAAAACCTGGTTAAAAATGGCGATTACAGGTGAAAACCAAGTAAACGTTATTGTAATTGGGGATAAGCTACATTAGTATCATCCTGCATGAATTTTCGAACGATGCGACATGTATTTAAGATTGCTGCTTTTTGTATATTAATGTATGAGTTTGGTGAGAAGTCTAGAATTTTTAAACTATGTTGTAAGTGCTTCGGAATTATTCCGGTCGTAGAAAGTACTTTGGGTATTATAAAAACTTTTTTCAAGTATATTATTATTTAAGTTATTATTGTGGGACTGGAAGTAGTTTTGAGCATTATCTCTACACAGATTCTGAACATGAACTTATTTAACACTAACAGTGTCTATCGGAAGTAAATGCTCGTTAATGGAAACGTAGCGTCAACATCAGTTAACTGGCTTAATTACGTGTACGAAGGAATCATACGTAGATAAACAAGATAATTACCAACTGGTTCAATCATGTGACTTACCTTACTATCGATAATATTAGTTTTGGTAGTATGTTAGTTATGTAGTGGTCTTATAGTTGTTGACCGATTTCAAATAGGGTGTATTTTTTCAGTATGTTGGTTACTTGATTTTTTTATGAATAGAATATGTACCCATATACTATTCATAAAATCAAAATCTTTAGGATGAAAAGTTCCAGGAATTACTTTTATCTTTACATTCAATATACCTTTATTAAAAAGTAATTTTATTACCTTTATAGTGATGATCGTATGTAATAAATATGATTGTATGCTATTTTCTTACTATCTCCTTAGTCTCTTAGACAATCATGATGACTCTCGGAGTCTCGATATAATATAAATTAACACTTAGTTTTTGAAATCAAACTAATATGTCTTAAAAACAAATTTTACTATATTATCATTTTAATATACGTCTTAACATTATTTTGTATATAAACATTAACGATTCACCCTCGCTTTGCTCGGGTTCGTCCCTAGATAGATACGTTTTAACGCTTAGTGTGGAATAGACACTATATATTATAATACTGCTCCGCTCCCTTGGGTAGTAGCATGATGATATATAGCCTTCCTCAATAAACGGGCTATCTAATACAAAAATAATTTTTCAAATTGTGTTAATAGTTCCTGAGATTAGCCCGTACAAACAGACAAACAGAGAGAGAAACAAAAAATTTGAAAAAAATCTGGATTTGTTCCATTTGTCTTCTTACATCCCCGTGACTCGGTTTTTAGTATTTTTTTGATATGTACAGACATTCGACTTCTACTATTTTATTATAGTACCTATAGATTCGGTAGGTATCTTATATGAGCCGCTAAGCAATGATAGTCAAATAACAAATATAAAATAGGGGTGTCAAAAACATAATTAATCATGACGACACATTTGGCTCAGTTTGTAGAGGCGTGTGGCTCAGTACTCGATGTGCCAGCAGTCGCGGCTTCAAGTCCCGCTGGGGGCATTCATTTGTGTGATGAGCACGAATGTTTGTACTCCAGTCTTGGATGTTTATATTTATAATATGTATGTATTTAAAGTTATATATGTGTAGTGTATCAACTATCTAGTATTCATAACACAAACCTCGTAATTTACCATGGAACTAGATGTGTTAATGTCTCAACATATTTATTTATTTATAATTTGAGCACAAAAGTTTGTATGATATCTTTGAATAAGTCTTTCAAAATGAAATGAAAATAGATATTGCTATGTTACTTGCTTACATAAACCTATAGACATAATAACAAAAATTATTGTAGACGAAGAAAATTAAATGAATTTAGTAGATATCATATTTTCAAGAGAACGTTAAATTGAAACGGAATTCCACAGAGCAAAAGCTAATATTAATCATTTAATGAAACATCTCAAACTACGCCAATAACGAGAAACTACCTACTAACTACGCCAATAAAGTAAGTTAATAGACTTTGCTAGGATTCGTAATTTCAACGAATATACTCCCATTAGCGACTCACTCTCGCTTCGTCCGGGTTCGTCCCTAGCTTGATTCGCCATATAAAATCTCATCCCCATTTTCAACCCTTAAGGGATGATTTCCGGGATAAAAAGTATCCCATGTTCTTCCCATGATCTCAAACTATCTTCTTACCAAATTTCATCTAAATCGGTTCAGTAGATCTAGAGATTACCCCCTACAACGTCACAAACTCACCTTCTTACAACTCTTTATAATATTAGTATAGATCCAAAGGTATTATATTATACACGATTAGTTTCTCGCGTTGCATTATTACGCTAATTATTGTCGGCATGTTGATAATACGAGAATGCTTTTGAGATAACAAAATCATATAACCGCTTACGTGTATTGGTTATCAAGTAGACATATTAATTTGATATAGGTAAGATATTTGGATAATTTAGAAATAATTTTACGCTACATTGCTTCCAGCATAATGATTTATTTCTGTAGATATCTATACAGATAAATAAAATTGAAGTGTCTGTTCGTAAAGTCAAAATAACAGCGTTTTACTAAATGCATATGAAATTATATACGGTACTTCTGATAAAAACACAATTTTAAAAAATTTTGTCTGTCTGTCTGTCTGTTTGTTCCGGATAATCTCTGAAACGGCTGGACCAATTTTGACGAGATTTTCCCTAGAAGATAGCTGATGTTATAGGGAGTAACATGGGCTACTTTTATTTTAGGAAAAGAAGCGAACCCGAGCGAAGCGAGGGTGAGACGTTAGTTAAAAATAATTATTAGAACGTTTTAAAAATTCATAATATAAAAAATTATGTATGACAAAGACTACATTAGTGTAAAACTGTGTTGTAGCCATTACCTAACGCCCATCTCCAGATCATTAATACATTTTTTATCACTACATATTATAAAATTCGCGTCTGTCAGTCTGAATGCGATAAATTCAAAAACTACTTAATGGATTTTCATTCGGTTTTCACCAATAGTTGGAGAGATTCGCGAGGAAGGTTTAAGTGTAAAATTCATTAGGGTTTTATGTTAATTGGCTGAAATATGACGGTGATTGTTGAAGATGTTGGAAAAAATCCTGCCGATTGGGAGCTTTATTGGCGTGCGCCGCGTAAAGTAATAAAGTAATATGAAAACAATGTACTATAGAATTATTCCTCTTAAACTGTAGGAACGCTATGTGCACGTACCTAGAGACGCACTCGAGCGTAGCGAGGGTAAGTTACTAGTTAACTCATAAAGTTAGTGGAAATATCGAACCCGCAAAACCGTAAGTATAAATAAGTAAAATGTGAGCAAGACATGTGTGCTATTTTATAAAACTATAACGTGTTTCATAGTTGAGTGATGTATATGCGAACACTTTAGAATGGCTACATGAATTTTATTTAAGCTTGTACACTTCAAAAGCTAATTTAAAATTTCATTTAAATTCCCTAAGTAGGTATATCTAAATTGCAATATACATAGCTTTGGATCCTCCCAGACCATTGTAGTACCATAATTTATTTTCAAACTTAGAGTACAATAAATAATCATGCAAAACTGCTGTTAGAAACAAATGGCAAACAAAATATTTTCAGAAGATTGGCGCAGAGTGACATGTGACATTTGATGTCACAGTCACAAGCTAACAGTGTTGCTATTGCATAAACCTACAACATAATCTGGAGAATACTAAGTATACAAGCTCGAATATTCCACGCAAGTACCTAAGCCAAAGGATTACAGGCATCTATAGAAAATAAGCCACCTCGCGTAGTTTGAAGTGCAGTGTGTAAGATAAATATTTTGAATAGAAAAGTTTTTAAAATAGTTTTTGTTGATTTCAACTTAAAATATCCTAAAAATCATTATTTTATACTAGAAATAGTTATTGTCCTCTGCCTTCGCTTACGTCA